GCGGCGCTCCCCGGAGCCCCTGGGGCTCCCAGGCCGTGCTCGGCTGGGCCACGTCGGCCGCTCGCGGGGAGCCGGGCCGGCCAAGTGAGTCAGAGATCACCTTGTTTAATGACACCTTCCCGAGGCCGCGGGTGCGATAGGGGCCTTTTGAACTTGCCAATTAGCGAAGAAATACCGCCTTCTCCTTTGGGCCGGCTCAATCCGTCCTGCAGAAATAGCAACAGCCCCGGGGTCCGAGGTGGGCGGTCGGGGTAGCACGGGGTGTGTGTGGTGGGGGCAGGCTGAGGGCGCACCCCAGGAGACGCGGAGCTGGTGGGGTCCTCAGTCCCTGCCAGTTGGGGACGCTGAGGCGTGTGGGGAGAGTCCAGGCCAGGCACAGAGCCACTGTTTTGTTTTGGTTTTGTTTTAAGAATTATTTTATTTAACTTTATTTATTTATTTACTTTGATTGACCAGAGAGGGATAGAAAGTGAGAAAGCAAGCTGCCAGGGCCAGGACTTGAACCATGGTCAGCCAAGTGGGAATCCAGGCCCCTGCGACTGTTTTGATCATCCAATAGACAGCCATCCCGTAGACACTTTTCTAGCAGGACATTTTATTTATTTTTGTTTTAAATTTTGCTATAGGGCACATGCACTCACCAGAGAGAGACAGAGACAGAGAATGAGAAAACGTCAAGACCTGCTTGGCAAAACCAACACCTGAGGGGGAGCAGAGGCATTTAAAAATAAAACACACAAGTAGAGAAAAGCAGAGGTGTCTCTGATGGAGATAACCCACGGCCTGAGCTGGTTCCGGTTTATTCTTTCATGGGCCAGAGGGGGTGAATGAGGATGTGAAGCCGGACGCCCGACCACAGGCGAGCGGGCGTTGTGGGACATCTTGTGTCTTGTCGTTTTAGCCTTTTTGTCTTCCATGGCGCAGTTTGGCTGATACTCAGTTTGGGTCTTTCGGTTTATTTTTTTTAACCTCTGCTGGCCTTGCACCGTGGGAACAAATCGTGGGGAACTGCCTTTCCTCATTTCTAAAGTCTGTTCGATCATTGTGTGACCCAGATCCAGCCGCTCCCTACAAGAAAGCAAGCAGCCGGGTCTGGGACAGGAACAGAGGTCGGCGTGTGCGAGTCCAATCCCTAACCACACACCACCTGCTGGCGCATAGCAGCCCATTTTCGAATGTGAAAGGCAGCTTGTGAAATGAAGTGTTACTGCTTTTCCTTCGCGGTGTACATTCCAGGCATCGTTTCCACATAGAATCGGTAGCAAGTGTCAGCGCGCTGTTCTGTATTCTTTCCTTGTGCTGAGCTTCAGACTCTGGTATGCGGTTCACACTTAGCACTTTTCGGTAGGCCTTGCCTGGTTTCCAGCACAGGTGACCACGAGGCAGTGAGACGTCCCAGTTGTACATCCCAATCCCAAGACCCGGGTGCCACGTCCTTGTCATCCTCGCTCCCATTTGGTGTAATAACCCTGTGAGGTTAGGAACTTCACTGGCGTTTTTAGACAGGACACTGAGGCCCCGAGAGGCTAAGGAACTTACCCGAAGACTTGAAGCAGGTCGTGGTAGAAGTCAGGGCCTTGAGGGCTGTGCCCGGGAGCTTCATTAGGCGGAGCCCGGGCTCCTCGGTGTTGATGCCTCCACAGTGACGTTGCACCACGGCACTGCGGGAACTAGCCATGTGCCCTTCACAGAGGAGCTGGGTGGCAGAAGGTCTTGGAGACTCGCGCGCGTCCTGGCTGGGTCTGGGCCTTGGCGACCTCGAGTGCAGGCGTAGAGTGTGGAGTGACTCGGTGGCTGCCGTATGTGGAGTCTACTCTTGGTGAGGAGGAAGGCTCCTAAGGGGAAGCCAGCCTGGCTCCCGGCCCCGCTCCTGGGGGCTCTGGAGCGTTGTGGCCCTTCCTCTTCCGCAGCACAGGCTCGGCCCTTGCCCAGGGCAGGGGCTGTTTAGCTCGGAGCAACCAGGTGGCACAGAGACTAGAGGCGGGGCCAGGGTCCTGGGTGCTGAGGAGCGCTGTGCTCTCCAGACAGGGCCCAGAGGGGCTGCCTCAGCACAGTCGTCCATCCCGCCTGGGCTCAGGAATGGGGGGAGGCCGCTCCACACACTCCCCGGGGTGGGGACAGTGTGGTCTTCTTCTAGAGGACTGAGCAGAGGTGTGGCCCCTAGAGCCATCCCTGCTGGAAGAAGCCAGCTGGCCCACGGGTACAGGGCACGGCTGTGTCTCTGCCTGGGTCTGAGGGCCCAGGCCTGGAGGGTTTCAGATTCACAGCGTCAGGCTGGTTCCGGGTCAAGAGCCCAGGAGTGATCGGCTCTTGGTGAGGGAGGAGGGCATCCCAGGAGGGATCCCTTCCTTGTGCTCTGGCTTCCTGGGAACCTCTAGTACACCCTGTACCCATGTAAGTGATGTGGGGGAGCAGGGGTGCCCCCAGGCAGCCACAGAGCAACTAGACCTGGGCCGCGTCTCGCCGGCATCTCCCAGGCTTGCTCTGGACCAGTCCTCCGAGCCCCCTCCCATGCCAGCCAAGGTGAACATGCTGCAGACCAAGCCCACTGTCAGGAAAGCAATCTGCCCAGCCTGCGCCCAGACCTGAGCCTGCCGCGGGCCTCAGCCTTGTCCGGGGACCCGACCCCACCCGAGTTCAGCAGACACCTGCCAGCCGGGCATTTCGCCTTGGACGACTGGGCGGAGCCAACTGCATGCATCCTCCAGTCCAGGCCCGGCTGGCCACGCCCTCCTGCCCACGCGCCGGCTGAGGCTGACGGCTGCTCTCGCCCAGCTCAGCTCCCGAGGCCTGCTCTGCCTCCTTGCTCTTCATCTGTCTGGGCTTCCCGCTGAGAGTTAGCGTCAGGGGCACCTGGAGGCTCAGAGGCCCTCCCACAGCACGGGAACTGTTCTGCTCTGGTAGAGGAGTCAGTCCCTGTGGCTCTCTGGCAGAGGCGGGAAAGTTGCCAGAATGAATTCCTGACATGTTTTTTCTTTGGATGTTTTTGGTTTGCAGTGCCTGCATCTACCTACAGCCCATCCCCAGGGGCCAATTACAGCCCAACCCCTTACACCCCTTCTCCCGCCCCTGCCTACACCCCCTCTCCTGCCCCTGCCTACACCCCATCTCCCGCGCCAGCCTACTCTCCCTCCCCGGCACCAGCCTACACCCCCTCGCCTGCCCCAAGCTATAACCCTGCACCCACACCCTCGGCGGCCTACAGCGGGGGCCCTGCGGAGTCTGCAGGCCGTCCACCCTGGGTGACAGATGACAACTTCTCTCAGAAGTTTGCCCCTGGCAAGAGCACCACCTCCATCAGCAAGCAGACTCTGCTCCGGGGATCCCCAGCCTACACCCCGGTGCCCCAGGTGTCCCCCCTCGCCAGGGGCACCGTCCAGAGGGCTGAGCGCTTCCCAGCCAGCAGCCGGACTCCACTCTGCGGCCACTGCAACAACATCATCAGGTAGGCCCCTGTGCCCGTGCTGGGCGCTGGCCCCGGGCAGGTGTTTGCCCACAGCCCGTGCCCTGCGCTGGGGGTGGGAGGGGAGGCAGGCGTTGGGAGAAGGCCACATGCAGGGCAGCCTGGAGGCCCTCTGGCCTGCTCTGAGCTTGGCTTCCATACCGGCTTGACACCCACTGCCTGGGGAGTCGGGAGGAGCCCATGAGGTGAGCGGGCGAAGCTCTCAGTTGATGCCAGTGCCAGGAGCTGCCCCTGGGCTGAGGCTGGTTCTGGAACACCAGTGTTGTCCTGGGTTTCCTGCGGACATTGCAAGCTGGCAGACGGAGCCGGGCTTGACCCAGCTTTCCTTTAGGGATGTTGCCGGGCCTTTCTGCAGACAGGCCTGTGCTGCTCAGGGCTTGGAGGGCTTCTGCCGCCCCGAGAGCTGTCCTCTCACGAGGCCAGGCTTGGGCGGTGCTGCTCAAACAGTGTGGGTGTGATTTTCTTGTAAGTTGTGAAACTCCGTCTTATTCTTTCTCCATGGTAGAGTGCATGAGAGAGAGAGAGGCACACCTCCACAGGGTACGGTCAGCCACCGCCCCTCTCCCCGCCTCCACTCTCCCAGACCGTCAGAGCCTGGGTGCGCGTGAGTGTGCCCAGGCTGGGGACCTGACCCGCAGTGCCATGTGGGATCTGGCTTGAGCAGCACTTACCACTGTGCCACAGAGCTGGCCCGTGTGTGTGTGTGCGCATGTGTGCGTGCGCGTATGTGTGAGAGAGAAGTGAGCTTATATTGGTCATCAGGGAAGTCATGATGCATTTTTACATAGAAAAGCATAGAAACGTACTTTATTATGACTTTCCTAATAACCTAAAAGATACGAAAAATACGCTTTTATCCAGAAGAAATGAACGTGGGCTAGCCAGTGGCAGGTAGTTAAGGTGGCTAGATCCCACATGGCCAGACCCACTGTGCGGGTCCCAGACCTGGGAGCTGGGGAAACGTGCTGAGTGCGTGTGCCTTTGTGCCTGGAGTCCCAAAAGGAGGAAGGAGGAGACGGGGCGGTGACGCGCTCATGCCCACGGGATGCTTTCTCATCTCCCCTCCTCTCCCCTCTCCCTCCAGTGAGCACAAGCTCCCTCTGGCAAATTTAAAAACAATTTTTTTTTTAATTAAAAAAAAAAAAGAAAAGCAACAAACTCTCTAGGGAAGAACTAGAAAATACGGAAAAGTAAAACTTAGAGTATAACTTCCTCTTAGCTCTACTGTGCCAACCACTGACTGGGAACTAGATGGCCCAGATTTGTATCCTGGGTCTACCACTTCCTTCCTGTCCTGTGGCCGCGAGCTACCACTGCCTTCCTGTCCCGTGACCGCGAGCTACCACTTCCTGTCGATGGCCGTGAGGTGCCGTCCTTCCTGTCGCATGGCCTGGAGCAGCAGCTGTACCTGGAATCCACATTCCAGTGGGACCTGCTTCACAGGGCCGCTGTGGGCAGCCACCGTGGGCAGCGGGAGCAGTGTCCAGCACAGGGCAGGACCTCGCCGTTGCCAGCCGGGGCAGCTCCGTGCTGCTCGTTGCTGTCGGTGGGCAGCAGGACCCTGGACTGGGCTCACCATGCCCAGGGGCTGTTCGAGGCTTCCCCTCGCTTTACCGCAGGCCAGGCAACGTGTACACCCTTCTCTGGCTTCACTCCCACTCGTCAGAGCAGCCACTGAAGTTGGAGTTACAGGGGAAAGCTTGGACATTGTTGGGGTCGCACGCTGTCTGGTTCTGGGTTTAGGAGCCGCCTTGTTAGGCGCTGTTCTCTGCTCCCCAGGGGCCCCTTCCTGGTAGCCATGGGCCGCTCTTGGCATCCGGAAGAGTTCAACTGCGCCTACTGCAAGACCTCCCTGGCAGACGTGTGCTTCGTGGAGGAGCAGAACAACGTTTACTGCGAGCGCTGTTATGAGCAGTTCTTTGCCCCGCTCTGTGCCAAGTGCAACACCAAGATCATGGGGGTAGGTGGACGGCACCCCTCTTCCCTCACCCTTGTCTTTTCCCCAAGGATGACCAACTCCCACCCCCAAGATCGTGCGGTCCCATTAAGAGGCCAAGAGTTGCTGAGAATAGAAAGCAGCTGCACTTTGACCTGAAGGGAGTCAGTTTGCCACCTCTGAGCTCAGGCACGAATGAACTCAAAGAGGGGAACGTGTTCTCTTCCCCACACCTGCAGTGGTGGTGGTACTGCTTCAGAGCAAGTTAGGACACTGTAGCCGACCTCCCCACTCCCTGCATGTGACCTGACCCTGAAGCCCCTCTGGTAGAACGACAGTCCAAGAGTAGCCCACTCTCAGACCTGGTAGGAGGACTAAGTACCCCAGCTTAGGTAAGCATGCGCAGAACCTGACTCCCAGCAAGGCTGGGTAGTGGGAACCCCTTCTCTGTCAACTTCGGGGTGCCCGAGGCCTGCTCTCCTAGCTATTCCCTGATGCGATGCTTGGGCAGAGGCTGGGGCCTGGGTGGGGTCTGTCCCGAGCTCGGGCTCTCTCCCTAGGAAGTCATGCATGCCTTGAGACAGACGTGGCACACCACCTGCTTTGTCTGCGCCGCCTGCAAGAAGCCCTTCGGGAACAGCCTCTTCCACATGGAAGACGGGGAGCCCTACTGCGAGAAAGGTAGGGGGCTGCCGTGCAGTATAGGGGGCCCAGTCTGGGAGACGGGCAGGCAGGGAGCTGCCCGCTGCTGGGACCCCTCGCATCTGGCCATCAGGGGCCTGCGTGCCTGGAAGGAGCACTGGGGCTTGGGTCTGCTTCCAGAGGCGTAATCTTGCTGGTCCTGCACGAAGGATATTGGTGGACTTCCTTCCCACCCATGCGGATGCACCTTTCTCGGGGAGAAGGGAGCAGAGGCTGCAGCTTATTTTGTACATTCAGCCTCTGTTCCCTTCTCTGCATCAAATACAGTGTGTGAGGGCCATCAGGTAGTGTGGAGGTTAAGGGCACTGTATTCCATGGGCTGACTGTGTGGTTCGATCCCCAGAACTGGAGGCTTGAAAATCACGCTGGACGCATGTGTGTGCATGCCCAAAATCCCAAGAGAAGAATGGAGGACAAGGGATTGCAGTGTGGCCATGCCCTTGGGGGGTGAGTTCTTACTCTCTCTCTCTCTCTCTCTGGCAAGCACACACACCCTATAGCAAAAAAACAAACACCCCCTCCCCCCCCAAAAACAAATACAGGGCTAGCAGGTGGCATGGTGGTTAAGGTGCTAGACTTCCACATGGTCAACCAAGTCTCAGACCCAGTGGCTTGAAAATCATGTGGGTTGTGTGTGCATGAGTGTGTGCCAAAATCTTAGGAGGAGAAGGGGTTGAGGTATGATAATTCCACCTGGGGGTGGCTTCTCACTTTCCCTCTCTTTCTCTCTGGCAAGTGCACGTGCCCTATGGGAAGAGCCTGAAGAAAACAAAACACAAATACCGTGTGTGAATCCCGAGTTTGCGTCTTATAACTGCTTGGAGACCCTCCAGGTTATTTTGACTTGGAGACTGTGGGTCTCGCCTGAGAGGTCTTCCTTCCGGCTCTGTCCTAGGCTCTATCCCTGGCTCCTCCAGGGCTGGCTTTGTAGCCCTGAGTGAGTTCCTGCTCTTCTCTCAGCCTCAGTTCCTCGGCTGTGGACGCCCACCTTCCAGGGCTGTGGTGAGGATTAGGCCAGAGGCGTACAAAGCCTTGGATGCAAAGGTCCCATCCTCTGCTTCCGTGGTATTTATCAGACTCTGATGTTCCTGCAGATGCTTATAATCTTTTCTTTTTTTTTTTTTTAATAATTTTTTTTATTTATTTTAATTTAACCAGAGAGGGAGAGAGTTTGGGGGGGATGAGAAAGCAAGCCACCAGGTCTGGGACTCGAACCACAGTTGGCTATGTGGGAGTTTCCAGTGCCTTAACCACCATGCCACCTGCTGGTTCCCACCCAACATGTTTTTGAAACCACTGAGACTGGGACTTTGGGACTTGAACCATAGGTGTAGGACCCAGCCTGCAGGGGGCGCCTTAAAGTAGAGAGCCTGTGCTCACACTGCAGGGCCTGTGGAAGCTCTAAACCAAGGCGCTATGTGCTGCTGGCTTTACAGACAGGGAGCTGAGCGTAGGCCCCGAGAAGGCCGGAAGAGACTGGTGTCGATGCTCCACAGCTGCGGTCAATACAGAAAGCAGGGGCTTCACCTTCCCTGTGAAAGAACGAGCATAAAACAGCTCAGGGCCACAGCGGTCTCCATCAGGCCCACCTGGCCCGCCCAACCCCTGCTTTTTTCGTTTCTTTCCTCAATCCACGGCCCTTCCTCTGGGGGCCCCATCTCTTCACGGCCAGACTGAGGCTCCTGCTGCCTCAGCCCCCATGCCACTATCTAGCTTTAAACATGTATGTAAATCCCGTTACTCGCGGTACTTTGGAGTCTCCTTGGATTTGAGAGTCAGCCTGGAGGGAGGCTCAGTGTCCCGCCATGGAACACTGGCTGGGGTCCGACCTGCCGCCGTTTCGCTTGTTGTGGTAAACACAGAACACAGAATTCGCCATCTTCCTCGGTGGTAAGTATACCGTTCAGTAGTGTTAAGTGTACTCACATTGTTTGGTTCTTCAATTTTTTTAATTGCCAGAGGGAGCACGTGCTTGCCAGAGAGAAGGCTCCCCCTAATGGGGTGTAGTCATGCTGGACCCAGAAGCAGAATTGCACGGGGTACCTGTCTTGCCCCAGTTGTTCCGATACCCATTTAGGTTTGGGGATCAGCGATGTTTCCCCCGGTGGGTCCCAGGGCCAGCAACATCACCTGAGAACTTGTTAGAAATGCAGACCTCCCGGCCCCACCTCAGATCTGGGGAATCAGAATCTCAGGGAGTGGGCCCAGCCATCTGTATTCCTGCAAACCGTCCGCATCATTCTGCTGCTCAAGCGCCCTCTCTCTAAAGCACAGAGCATCTGATTTGATGGGTGGGGAGGCTTTTAGCAGTAAAGCCCGTTAAATACAAGGCAGTGCTTCGGCGTGGGGCGTAAGCAAGTCGGCTGAAGAAATGATAGACCCGAGGGGAGAGGAGAAGGAAGGAGCGGGTAACCGAGCAGCGGGTTGTGCTCCTGGTGGGAAAGGCCCTAACGGGCTCCATCCGATACCCACGACACTCGCTTTCTCTAGTCGATCAGGAAAGTTAAAAATGTGTACAAGTCAGGCCTGTGCTACCACATCCTAAAGCATGGCAGAAATTCTCCAGATCATGTAGACTCAAGGGTGAGACAGAAAAACCAATCACTAGGCAAGACTAGACATTCCAGAAATGGATTCAAGTGCTACCACATCCTAAAGCATGGTAGAAATTCTCCAGATCATGTAGACTCAAGGGTGAGACAGAAAAACCAATCACTAGGCAAGACTAGACATTCCAGAAATGGATTCAAGTGCTACCACATCCTAAAGCATTGTAGAAATTCTCCAGATCATGTAGAATCAAGGGTGAGACAGAGAACCAACCACTAGGCAAGACTAGACATTCCAGAAATGGATTCAAGTGCTACCACATCCTAAAGCATGGTAGAAATTCTCCAGATCATGTAGAATCAAGGGTGAGACAGAGAACCAACCACTAGGCAAGACTAGACACTCCAGAAATGGATTCAAGTGCTACCACATCCTAAAGCATGGCAGAAATTCTCCAGATTATGTAGACTCAAGGGTGAGACAGAGAACCAACCACTAGGCAAGACTAGACACTCCAGAAATGGATTCAAGCCATTGGAAGAGCTTACTCTGTGAGACACCACAGGAGGAGAAATCACAGGAGCCGTCTGTCTGTCTGTCCATCGCATACCCATTGACGTGTGCCGGACACGTTCTCTGTGCCAGTGCCCGCAGAAGATGCCGAGCATGGAGGCGTGTGTGTCTGGGGCTGCCCTCTAAACCCTCAAGCAAACCCATCAGTATATGATATGCTGACGTGTGCATGGACATTCCAGAGACTGAACGAAGGAATGAATGGGTAGATGGATGGACGGCTGAAAGAGGGCTGCCTTGAGAAAGCCATTCCAGCTCTCCGGTTGGGATGGGGATGAGGACTTCTTAGGAGAAAAGCCTGGCCCAAAGGATTGCAGAGATGCAGGGAGAGAAAGTTGGGGGCGGTTTCCAAGCTCAGGACCTGGCTTATACCGAGGCCTGGAGGTGTAAGAGCGAGCCCAGGGTGCCTGGAGGTCGACTGGGAGTGCTGAGCGAGAGGTCAGAAGTAGGTGTTTACGGTTACAGAGCACAGCCATTAACCTGCCCTCACCTTCTAGAGAGAGCAGTGTTCTCTGAGCTCCAGCAAGGTGGCGCGTGTATGCCTGCTGAAGAAGGGAACTGCTCTGTGGAGAGGATGGGCTGGCATATGTGGAGCATTTGCATGACAAGCTGCAATTACGCACCAAAGGGGAAGCGATATTGGAAAACCCTGCAAGAGATAAGCCTAATCCAGGCGCAGTGGCAAATTGATAAGGAGCTGGAGACTCAGAGAGCCATGGGCGGACGCTGACCTTTGGAGTCCAGCAGGCCTGATGCTGGTCGTAACCACCACACCACGGGCTCGCCTACCTCCCCTTCACAATGGGAATATGACCTCTTCACAGAGATGCTGTGAGGATGAAACAGTAGCCGTAGGGCCAGCAGGTGGCGCGGTGGTTAAGGAAGTTGGATCCCACATGGCTGACTGCAGACTCTAGTCCTGGACCGTGACTCGTGGACATGCCAGGCGCATGTGCACGTATGCTCAAAATTCCAGGAGGAGAATTCTGGTGTGCCATCCTCCATCCTCCTGGGATGAGAAGAATCATTCTTTCTTTCTCTCTCAAGTGAGTGCACGTGCCTTCTAGGGAAACTAAAAGAAAAAAACACAAACGAAAAAACAGTAAGAACCACAGTAGACGCTCAAATTATAGTCTTGTCCCTCCTTTCATCATTTACGAAGATTCAGAATAAAAGCCAACGTGCTCGAGTGTCTGTGCCAAGTACTCCGCTTGCATTAGCTTACTTCATCCAGCAACAACCCCGTGCTCGGCACTGTGATTGCTCCCGTTACAGGGATGAGAAAGTCGAGGCTCTGAGAAGTTGCCCCAGGTTTGAACAATTCTGTAACAGAGCTGTGATTTGAATTCAGCTCTTTCTTTCCTCGGAGTCTTTCCAAGTCCGTGACCCTCACGGCATGCTGCCGCTCATGTGGCCTGTGACAGTGAGCAGACCCGCTGTCGTGAGGAAACTAGCAGAAATATGTCAACAAGGGACAAGGAAGAAAGTGCTGTTAGGAAAAGCCAGCTGTTGGGGGCCAGCAGGTGGCATGGTGGTTAAGACGCTGACACTCACTCCCACATGACCGACCACGGTTCAAGTCCCAGACCCGATGACTTGCTTTCTCACTCCCCCCGCCCCCACTCCATATCTCTCTGGTCAAGTTAAAATAAATGAGTGGATAAATAAAATTAAATAAATAATTCCTTAAAAAAGAAAGAAAGAAAGAAAAGCCAGCTGTGGTTGAATGTCCCTACTTCTGGGGACAGGGCGGCCGTGGGGGTGACAGAGAAGAATTTGTCAAGGGGATTCAACTTTCTAGAAGAGTCCGGAAAGCCCTACAGTGAGTATGGTGACCTGCTTCCCTTGGCCCAGAGAGGACAGCTGCTGCGAAGGAGGAGGAGCTGCCTCCCTGCTCTTGGTTGTGGGGCTCCGGCTGGTCAGCTCAGCTCTTTGAGCCTCAGTGTCTTCATCCACAAAACAAAACAAAAATCATGGTTCAAGATGAGGGTCACGATTGACTTTCTGGCTGACATGTTCACACGTGTGTGTTCAGCGTGAGCACACATGGTGCTGGGAGCACGAACAACTGAGACGTGGGCCTTGGCAGCGGGTGTGCGTCGACAGCAGGTCATGGCGAGCTGGGGCCATGCATAGACCCTCTAGCAGCGATCTCCTTGGCCCTCCGGCTGCGGGGAGGACCTGCCCAGTGAAGTAACTGAAGTAGCTCGAAAACGGTTCATAATGACACTCGTCACTGCAAACGCCCAATGACAGGAATGGCCAAGCAAAGAGCATATAAGTCTTAAAAATGTTAAGGATCCTCTTTCATTCTTTCCTTAATTTGCCTGAGGGTGCCAGCTCTCACCAGAGAGACAGAGTCAGACAGAGGGGAGCGAGAAAGCACAGCCCCCACCTTGGGGTATGGGCGTGCTGTTATCCATTCTCCGTTTCTCCATCCTGTGAGGATTTGGGGTATGCAGCATGTTTTTCAAGCCACTGGGGCTGGGACTCGAGCCACATGGTAGACCATGTAAGAGCCAGCTCCCTTAACCACTAGGCCACCGAGCCAGTGCAGGGACCCCCATCCCTTCAAAATAAGCACAACTGTTGGGAAGTGTTGGGGACTCAGCTATCAGAGGTGACAGAGGCAGAAGAGATTGTCACGCTGTAGAAATCCAGTGACAATTGTGGAAAGCATTTGCAAATCAAACTAGCACAAGGTGGTGACTGAGTCAGTCTGCACAGCGTCAGCGCAAGGTACGGGACACAGAAAACAGAGCAGGGTGTAACTAATATGTCTTCTGGATGACAAGTGACCATTAGGGTTAATCCACTGCACCTTAGCCCACTCATCTGCGGGCCAGCCCGGCCTGGGGTACAGCTGGCTGGCGTGCCCCTCCCTGCCAGCCTGGGTGCCTGCCTTCACACCACCTTCCATTTCAGACTATGTCAACCTGTTCAGCACCAAGTGCCACGGCTGCGATTTCCCCGTGGAGGCCGGTGACAAGTTTATCGAAGCCCTGGGACATACCTGGCACGACACCTGCTTCATCTGCGCGGTAGGTTTTTAGCCTGGGACTCTGGCTTTTCCAGAGGGCGGGGAGCAGGTGGGGCCCAGTGGCGCCTCGGCAGCCCTGCGACGGTAGCTGCTGATATTCGGGTAGGAGCTAGCGGGCACCGCGATGCCTCTGAGTGCGTACTGTTATGATGGGGTCTGCGAGCTCGTGCGGCTTTGCGGCATTGTTTCCCGAGTGTCCAGGAGTTGGCGAGCCCGGGCTCGTGTCCTCAGTGATACTCTGAATGGGCAGAGCCGGAAGGGCACCGGATTTCCTGAGGCAGCTGGCTTCCTATGCTCTACAGCTTTGGATGCGAGGAAGCGCTTTGAGGTTTCCCTCCTAGCTTCCATAGGGACAGCAGTTGGGCTCACGGAGTAGCTCTGTGGAAGCTGCGGTGAGGAGGCTCCTGGCAGCCCGGTAGGAGGTGGCCCTGCTCGTGCCGTCCACCACCGGGAGCTGAGCCCAGGGTCATTGTTAGGCCCCACGGCGCGTTTCTGCTGAGCAGCCAGGTCATTCATATTGCACCATGGGCCTTTTCCCTTCTGGTGGGGTCAAGGACAGGGCAGTAAGCCTCCTGATAGTCTTCTCCAAGCTAGAGGGAGGGGGTCGTCATCCCCAATAAAGCTCTGAATGCCGATCTGTAAGTGACCATTTGGGAAAATCAATTTTTTTTGGAGAAGATTTTGCTATAGGGCGCGTGCACTCGCTAGAAAGACAGAGACAGAGAGACAGAAAGCGAGAAATCACCCCCCAGGGGGATGGCCACGCTGCAATCCCTTCTCCTCCATTCTCCTCTCGGGATCTTGTGCACACGCACACGTGCCTGGTGTGAGTTTAAGCCACCAGGTCAGGGACTTTAAACCACGGTCGACTACGTAGGAGTCCAGCGACATAGCCACTATGCCAACTGCTGGTCCTGGGAAAATCAATTTTTAAAAAGTTTTTGTTTATTCCTTTTTAAAAGTTTTTATTTCCTCCATGAGCAAGAGAAACAGAGAGCAAGAGAGAGAGAGCGAGAGAAAGGCAGGTACACCCCAACACGGGCTTCACGCTGCCACCCATCCACCCTGCGGCCAGGACTCCCAGCACTCCCGTGCACCCCACATGCTCGGGGAGGCCTTGGGACATGAACCGGGCACCCTCCCGTGTGGTCCAGCAGCACAGAGGGGTGCATTACAACTACACCAGCAGCTGGCCCCTACCATGAGTATATATATATATTTATAGATTTTTGCTACAGGTTGTGTGCACTCACCAGAGAGACAGAGAGATGGAAAGTGAGAATCACTCCCTGGGGGATGGCCATGCCGCTGTCCCTTCTCCTCCATTCTCCTCTAGGGATTTGGGCACACATGCATGCACACGTGAGGAGCGGTAACAAAGTACCCCAAACTGATGGCTTCCATGACAGAGACTTAACTCTTACCATTTGGCAGGCCAGCAGTTCTAACAAGGAGCCACGCTCTCCTCCTTTCTGGTAGCTGCCAGCAGTCCCAGGCGGTTCTCAGCCTGTAGGCTTGTAGTGCAGACTCCAGCCTCGGCCTCGCTGCCTTCCTCCTCTCCAGTCCAGGGCCTGTGACTTCCTGGCGCATTCCCTCCACGGGCTCCTCCTCTCAGAAAGATGCTGGTGGCTGGTGATGTGGAATTAAAGGCCTGCGCTCTAAGCTTGTTTTAATTTACAACTTAATTACATCTGCAAGGACCCTGTTTCCTAATAAGGTCATTGCCCCCCCCCCTGCTCCTGGGGTGGGCAGGCTGGAGATACTGCATTAGGATTTAAATGTGTGAATTTGGGGAGTTCAATCCCCATACCTCCTGATTCCCAGTTCTTTAAAGAGAGTACCTACTTGCCATTTAGAAAACCTTAAAATATTAGGGTATCTGCTCTGAGAAGGGACAGAGCCATCAACATCCCTGCTATGGGTTGTGTCCTGCAGAGCTATGGCTCAGGCAGGTACAGCATGGGGCTCTCTGACCCTTCCATTCAAGCCAAGGCTTGTCAGATCTGGAGACACTGCCTGCAAGTCTGGTTACCCAACTTCTAGAAGGATCCAAGAGGCTTGGAGAAGGTCCAGGAGGCCCGTGGCTCAGGGGGCCCGTTCTCCACGGGCAGGTGGATGAGGGGTCTGCCGCAGAGAGGGAACCGTGGCCAAGTGAGCTCACCGCGCTGGGCTGAGAACCATGGCAGCATGAGCCCTGGAGAGAGGCCCGAAGGGGCAGTGTAGACTGAGGGGGCTGCTGGTACAATTAGGTTTCAGAGTGAAGGTCGCAGGTGTGAGGGCCCTGTCACTCCCAGGGTATCTGCCCAAGGAATCCAGGCAGATCCCGACCTTGGGAGAATTAGCACAGGGGGAGCCTGGTAGGCGCTGTCTGGCACTCACAGCTCCACTCAGGCACGTAAGTGAAACACGGTTATAATCTTTGGGAAGAAATCTTTTTAAAAAAATTTTTTTTGCCAGAGGGTGCATGTACTCACCGTGGAGAGACAGAGCAAAAGGCAGAGGGAGAAAGCCCCCACGTGTGGCCTGGCCATGCTGCAGTCCCCTCTCCTACGTCCCCTGGAACTGTGGACCTGCACACATGCACACCCGGCTTGTTTCTCAAGCTGCCAGGTCCAGGACTCGAACCGCAGGGCTGCCATGTGGGAGCCACCTGCCTTAATTACCAGGCCACAGAACAGCCCAGGAAGAAGTATTTTAATTGGAAAACTTTGACAGATTTTTTGGGGGGAGAATGTCCTCTTTTTATCACTTTATAATTTCAAATCATTTTTAATGAGTATATATTGTCCTATATTTTGAAAAAATAAAAAAGGAACGACAGAAGGACTAGTAAGGAAAGCAGCCAGTAGCTTTCCTGCAGATGCGCCGCTTTCCTGCCAGAGCTCTAGACAGCACGTACATTTTTCTCTCTTAATTTGCTAGAGAGGGTGTGCTCTTGTGGGGAGAGTGAGAAGCTCCCCCGGGGACAGTCGTGCCACAGCCCCTCCTCCACACACATGCCCAGCGTGTGTTTTAAGCCGCAGGGCCCAGGACCCCGTGCACTGCACTGTGTGGGATCCAGCTGCTCTAACCGCCACTCCGCCTGCGGGCTGGGGGTAACACGTTCTTTAGAATAATTTAGGTAAGCAAATATCCCTGGAGTTTGGGGAATACAGGAGAGTCCCAGAACAAGTCTCCAACTTCAAGGCTTCGAGAATCCTGAAAGAAAAACCAAGCCGACAGGTAGAGCGACTCCAGAGCAGAACAGCGTGGGCTCTGAAGTCCAGAGCACGTGAAATGAAGGCCAGCTTGCTGAGCGCTTTGCGAGTCCCAAATATAACACCCCACGTGGCCTTCAGCTGCGCACGTGGGGACAGCAGGTGCCTCGTGTCCTTCCAGCTCTCTCGGAGCGGACACGCGCTCACTGACCCGTGCTTGACTCGAGAGGGCGGTTTCCCCCTGCTCTGGACACCTGCATGTGGGACTTCACCACGCCGCTCCCTCTGACGCGGTGTGGCCCCAGCAGGCTTCGTCAGTGCCCCCTGAGGCTAGGGCCCGTTTCAGCAAGATGGCTTCTTGGCCTCTCTGACGTTTCCAGCATATGTGTTGGATCAGGCCAGCACACGCCGGGGGCTGACTGTGCAGGCTGGATGCTCAGAACAGTTTCAAGTGTGTGCCGCCCCTCTGCGGTGGGGTGTGGGGAAACGCTCCGAGCTGGAGTCTCCCGACCTGGGTGCTGGGTCCCGGCTCGGCAGTTACTGAGGCTGTGACTGAGCAAGACACGAGGCCCTCCGAGTCCCAGCTGTTCCACTGTGCGGAGGGAAGGCCTGCCTACACCCCCTGCGAGGTTTTGGCGAGGCTTGGTGGTGGATACACAGCGCCTCCCGCCCAGCTGGAGGCGTGGGACCTGGGCAGGTACCATCAGCTCCCTTCTCTGAGATTCTCTAGCCCCAAACTGCACCCGGGCGTTGTCCTCACGGGGTTGCAGCATCTCTGTCCTTCCTTCGTGTCCTGGACCCTTGCGTGTGCTTTTCCGCAGCTCATTGCTCTTTTCTCACGATGGCGTTCCCCCGTGAACGTCTAGGCCGTCTCCCTGCTGAGAGAAGTGGTAGTTTTGGACTTCCAGTTGGGCACTCAGGGCTCTCTTGTTCTGTGGAGTTGTTCCTCAGAGTCCGTCCAAGGGCACTGCCAGGTCCAGGGCGGGCTCAGCTTCATGGCCCTTGTCTAGTGTGGCTGCGTCCCTCCAGCGCACTGAGCCGGGTCATGTGTCCCTAGCGGTGGACAAGGAAGCCATGTTCTCTTTTGACTCTGCTGATTCCCCCCCGACTTTTTTGCCAGAGCCATGCAAGGTTAAAGGGCGAGCTGTTGAGTTTCCTCATTGTCTGGCTTTCTAGACAAGCAGGTGTTCAGTGTATCCCGGGGAGGTCTCGCTTTCTCCGTAGTTATGAGGGAACATGATCTTTGCTGACGGGGTCGTTAGTTGGCCAAGTGTTTCTCTGGACGTTCCTCCTCTGGGGACGCTGACTTGAGCACTCGTACTGGGTCCTCAGACGTCCTGGGGAGTGGGACTTGGCCATCTTCATCACCTATCTCTTCTCCGTCCCAGTCCAGCGGTTGGTTTAACTTGCATTTTACTCCGAGTCCTTCTTTGGAAGCCTCGGCTTTGAGGGGCTCGACCCAGGCCCTCTGCGTGGCTGTGCGGGAGGCGCGTTGGGAGGAGCAGGAGAAGCTGCTGCCTTGGCTCCCCTGCAGGAGCAGCACGTTTCGGGCTGGAATCTTCACTGCCGTCCCCTGTGGGTGGCTGCAAAGCCCTGCTCACGCTGCCTGTTTTCTCCCAGGTGTGCCATGTGAACCTGGAGGGGCAGCCGTTCTACTCATAGAAGGACAGACCCCTGTGTAAGAAGCACGCGCACGCCATCAACGTGTAGGGGCCCAGGCGGCGGCTGCAGCCGAGGATTTGAAGAGGCGACGTTTGTTCTGGGGCCGGGGGCGCGAGGAAGCCGTGGAACCCTCCGGAGTGTACCTTTAGTCCCTTCCTCCACACACATCACCTATTGCGTAGTTCAGGCTAGATCCAAGTGACGATTCTAAACCAAGCTAGTCAGTCATCCAAGACTCGGATTGCACTGGAAGCGTTTAGGACAGAATTCCAGGAACTTCGACGTGAAAAATGAGACGTGACCTTCCCAAAGCGAGCCACTTGCCTGCGGCCACAGAGTGAGGCCCGGGCTGTGCGGGGCTCTGGCGAGCTCCCCTGCCAGGCCCAGGATGAAATGAAGTGCCAAACGGCACTGGCTGCGGGTATTTTTAGAACCATAGCCCGGAGCTTGTTAGCCAAGGCCCGAGGCCGACTGGGCTCTCCTCACCAAAAAAGGCAGTCTAGTCCCCGAGCGGCCCCACAGAGCTGCCTCTGCGCATTGGGCTTCAGCCCCGAACAAACTTGCCAAGTCCTAAGGGGAGCCCGGAGGCCAAGGGGTGGCTCCCGGCAGCCTCTGGGCCATCGAAGGGCTCCCAGAAGGGCTCTGGCTCCCGCCGCATAGCCGAGGAAAGGTGGGCCCCAGCGACCTTCTTTCAGTTTGAAACCTCCGGTGTCCCTGGAAGGCTCGGCTCTCTGTTGAATGGTGACAGGAAAGTGGAATTGGGTTTTCCAGTTTTGCTTTGCAGTGTGTGAGGGGAGAGTGTCGGAAGACCCCTGGTTGTGTTTTCCTGGTTTTCCCTTGAGGGCCGTTAGCATGAGTGTCTATCCAAGCATGTATCTCACCCTGACCTGGGACGGCTCACGCAAGGTGTCTTCTTTGTCCCCTACTCCCCGAGCAGGCTCGTAGCCTATGTATGAGAATGAGAAGGTGTTCGGAAACAGGATGGCAGGATAGGCTGACGGGCCCAGGCTCCGGTGGGGAAGAGCAGCCTTCCCTCCTGCCAACCTCAGCAGGAGAGCCTGAGCTGCAGCGCCTCTGAGCTGGCAGCACGTCCACTGCACACGCTCCTTCATGCCATGTCGGCTGTGTGCATGGCAGTGGCTGCTGGATGGAAGAGCTGGACCGATGTGTACACCCCTGGCCGTCTTGGCCAGTACTGGGCAACTGCCTGAGCTGAGGTGGTCTAGCAACTATTTAGGTATTTATTGCAATAGACTTGGGCCTTCAGAGTTCTGAGGTTAGTGGTAGTTGGGGTTAGGTAAGCGTTTTAAAGCTGTTGGTGCTAACAGAGCAGCTCCATGTCTGCGGGGGAAATGCCAGAGTTCTTCCTCGCAGGGTCCCTCTTGTTCCGCTTATAGAGGATGGCATGGAAGCAGGCGGTTCTCGGGGGCATTTCTCACCTGAGCATGATATTGAGGTGCTCTTCCGCCCACTGCTACTCTTGCCTCGCTCTTGTACTGTTGAAATACTTAATGGACATCATTAGAGCTCCTTTTCTCCTGAGAACTGAGGCTTCCGTGGGACTAGCCACCATCCTACCTAAGTGTCCCTCTGTCCTGGCGGGAAGGAAGCAGTAGCTATGTCCCTTGTAGGAAGCCCATATTTTTTCCATGGCTGTCAGTCTCCCTTCGGGAGCACCAGGGAAGGGCCTTCTTTACGTTGTTGCAGTGAGAAAGTCAGTCCAAAGCACCAGGCAGAATAAAATCTTCTGGGACTGCCTGGAGATTTTTTTCAGAAGTTGCAAACAAGTACCTTGGAGAATTCTGTCACTTTCAGAAAGTTCAAAAATACAGGGTCAAGGGAGTTGCTACCTGTACAGGAAGGCAAGTGGGCTTTCTCCAAAACAATCTATGAATTCATCAGATCTTGAGGAAAGAAGAAAAAGTAACCTGGAGTTAAATCTCCTAAATCTCTTTTTAAAGGTTTTATACACACACACCTATACACGTGACCATTAAAAAGACTATGAGCATGAAGAAGAAAAGTGAAATAGCTTAAAGTATAGCTTCACCGTAGTCCTTTATTGAACCCAGTTCTCCCATGGCTCAGAGAAGTGTGGATTCTGAGAGATCATTGTATATACCAAAGGAAACAACAGCAACAACAAATAAAAGACCAAGCCAAACAAAAGCATTTTAAAGCTAGCGAGAAAAGGAAGCAGTTTCCATGGGGTGGGCCCAGCGTCTGTCCACCTGGCGCACGCCAGGACTGGTTGTGTCTGGCTCACGTTAGCATCAAGGACGTCCCGTGACACCAGGCCAGGCTGTCCTAGTCCACCGTGGGGACTACATTCTGGCCACGCTCTGCCCCCTCCTCGCTGAGTACTGACTTCGTGCGATGAGTAACTTTACTTGCAGTGCCTGTGCTAGGAATCCAGCTCTCATAGTGCCGGCCTTCCGATCCAGTCCTCCAGCTTTGGGAGTTCTTTTTCTTTCTTTGGTAAGATTTCAGAAGCGGAATGCAGCGTGTTAGAGGTGTGTAGGAAAATGTTCTGCATGGTTTTTCTTTTCTCTTTTTTTGGCCTGTGTGAATTCTACTTTTAGCAAAATAAAAAACCCCCAAAATGATGTGCAAGTACAGATTTTTCTGTGTCAACTTTCCTCACGTGACATCAAAAGTAGCTTATTCCATATGGCCATGAGTAAAAATTGGGGAACACCCAATAGAGAACACTCAAAGGAGAAGACAACTCATTGGCCATGTCGTGCAACAGCCGTTGAATCACTTTGTTTAAACAGAGATGCCTGAGGCCAGCAGGTGGCATAGTGGTTAAGGTACTGGACTCCCACATGGCCAACCACAGTTCGAGTCCTTGACCCGGTGACTTGAAACTCACACTGCATGTGTGCCCAAGATCCTGAAAGGGACATGGAGAAGAAGAGATTGCGGTGTGGCCACTCCCTTTGAGGTGGTCTCTCACTTTCTCTCTCTCTCTGGTGAGCACACATGCCCTATAGCAAAATTTTTTCTAAAAATAAATAAATAGATAGATACCTGAAGAATACAAATGTTTGCCTTTTGAAAGGAATTTACCAGGTGAATAAGAAACAGAACAACATAGGCCTCGTCCTGTGTTTTTAAAAAGTTTTGTTTATTTAGCTACTTGGTGGTCAAATATTTCAGATTTCCTTTGTTTTTGTTTATTTGTTTGCTTTTGTAATTTTTGCCAGAGAGCCACCTGCACTTGCCAGAGAGAGAACATGAGAAAGCCTCCCCTGGGGGGCAGTCATGCCACAACCCTCTCCTCTCTCTCTCCCGCCTTTCGGGGTTCAGGGCATGCACACCTGTGTCCCGCACAGTCAGCCATGTGGGATCCAATGCTTTAACCTTCATGCTGGTGCGGGAACCAGCAGTTAGTGTAATGGCTATGTCGCTGGATTCCCACGTAGTTGACCACGGTTCGCGTCCTGGACCCGGTGGCTTAGAACTCATTCTGGGCGCGTGTGCGTGCGTGCCCAAGATCCCGAGAGGAGAATGGAGGAGAAGGGATTGCGGCGTGACCATCCCCCCTGGGGGGTGATTTCTCGCTTTCTGTCTCTATGTCTCTCTCTGTCTGTCTGGCGAGCGCACGCGCCCTACAGTGAAAATCTCTCCAAAAAAAAAAAAAAAAAAGAAATAAAAAAAAAAAAACCCTCCATGCTGGTGCGAGATTTACTTGTTTTTATTCTGCTCTAAATTGGCTTCATTTCTAAAAACATTATTGTATTTTCTGTCATATAATTTGTTTTCAGATAAGCCCAGAATAAAGTCATACATATATATATATATATTAAAGAACGATGCTCCTTCTGAGGGTACTATGCTTAAATCAATTCCCTCTTTCCAAGGTACTGTGTTTCTAGACATTACACCACCCTATCACCACCTACCATCACCTACCACCACCCTACCACCACTCTACCACCACCTACCACCACCCTACCACCACCTACCACCACCTACCACCATCCTACCACACCAGTCCCAGTCCACCTACC